TTAATCTATTTTATCTCTCATTTTTGTCTATTTGTTTCCAAAGTAGTTCTTGTAATAATAGTAGTTCTAACCAATATATTTAATTAATAAGAATATTTTTAAAAAGATAAAGTCTAGTCATTACAAATAACTAAAAAAAGATAATATCTATTTATTACAAAGAAATAATTTAACTAATTTTTTAAATTTATTTAAATTAGTTACTTAATCCTTATATCAAGGAGAGAAGGTGGTACTTGATTACTGTGATGTCTGGGTGAAGCTGGGGACGTGTATTGTTATTGTCTTCTTCTGCCGAAGAAACATAGGAAGGAGAGGACCCCACAGTTAGATATTGTCCTCCATTTGTTGTTATTGGTTTCTGACTTTACAGCTGTCCTACAAATATGAGCAAAATTTACGAAAATTGTTCATTCCAAGGTTTGAACTTGACAAGTTCACTTTATTATTTCTTACAATTAATATTAATGAAACCTGAGCAATTTCCTCGCATGCGCGTGTGTGTGGGTGACAAATAACCACGAGATGTCCGACTTATAGACAGACAAATTTTACAACAATTCTTGATAAATGAGGTATGGATAAATCATCTTAACATATTTATGTATACTCTGGCGAAAATATATATTGATTGAAAAAAGCAATATATTTTATATTTATTGGAAATCAATAACATCTTGAAAAGAATTTAGATAAGAAAAAAATACTCATGACTATAACACCCATTTAAATAATGGGCATGTTCAACTTATATGAAAATGCTTGTTTGTTAACTAATGACATATATTAAATTTTAACTATAATTTTATATGTATTTGATACTATGTCCGGTTTTTAATATAAGAATTTATTTAATTTTTATTTTGGTTTTAAATACAAGACTCTAATTTTTTTGTCTCATATTTATTCGTTTTTTAAGATAGTCCTTGTGATAATAGTAATTTTAGCCAATATACTTGATTAACAAAGATATTTTATGAAAGAAAATACATACCACCTCCGGTCCTTAATATAAGATCCCATTGGACTTTTATATTGATCCTAAATATAAGATCTCAATCCATTTTTTCTCTCATATTTACTCAATTTTTTCTAAGATAGTCCTTCTAATAATTATAGTTTTAGCCAACACACTTGATTAGTAAGGATATTTTAGGAAGGACAACACATATTTATTACAAATAACTAACTTAACTTCTTTCCTTAATTTTCTCAGATTAGTCAACTAGCTCTTATAATTAGGACTGGAGTAGTATTTATTATAAATAACTAACTTAATTAGTTTCTTTAATCTATTCAAATTAATCAACTAACTTTTATATTTAATACTCCTCCGGTCCTTATTATAAGACCCCATTTGACTTTTTATTTGGTCCTAATTATAAGACCCCAATCCATTTTGTCTCTTATATTTATGCATTTTTTTCCCAAGATAATCCTTCTAATAATGATAGTTTTAGCCAATATACTTAATTAGCAAGGATATTTTAGAAATGACAACACTTATTTATTATAAATAACCAACTTAACTTATTTCCTTAATCTCCTCAAATAAATCAATTGGGTCTTATAATTAGGACCGGAGGAGTAGCATAATTAGTATATCTTACCAGTATTATTTTGTTGTGGAATAATATCGGTCTCTTCCTTTGAAACTTCTTACCATGTTGACCTCCCATCCCAGACCTATTTGGTGGTTCCAAGGGTGTATATCATCATCATGTATGAATGGTTATTGTTGTTTGTTTTTATGCAATCATTATTATTGTTTTACATTATGAGTTGTATAGATTTTAATTTAGGAAATATCCCCAAAAAAAATTACTAAATTTTAAATCAGGATTTTTTCCTACATTTTAATAAGCTTTGACTATAGTTGACTTGTAAACAATTTTTAGGAGTTTTAAATTTGAGGTTCAGTAATCTTCGGATTCTCTTGTGAGATTCTTTCTTTAATTTATACCACATGAAATAAACAGTATGCTAAAATTTTCTATTGGAAACAAAGTAACAAAATGTATTATTAATTCGTGATTCTTTAAAAAAAAAAAACAAAACAAAACTATTCTCAGAATAGTATAATTAGCTGGTAAAACATCAAGTCACATAAAGAAGATTTGAAGATATTTGTGTGGTTTATGTGAGGATGATGAGTGACGAACATGTGATGTATTGTAAAACTACAAAATTATGTTAACCTTTGGGTTGAAAAAAAAGTTATGAAATACCTTTTGCTTTTGTAGCTTTGACCAGATTTAATTGTGAAAAAAAATGAAAAACGTAAATATTGATATTGACCCTCCACCTAAAAATCACAGTAGTCTAATGAAGATCAAATTTTAATCATGGAATATTGTGTTTTCCCTTTTTGGTTGCCGATAATCTATCCAAAACTGCCTCATTCTCATTAGAGTAGAAAAATTATAGAAAAGTTTAGTTTGAAACTGGGAAAAAAAAAAAAATCTTTCTGAGCCTACGAATTACTAACTTTTATTTGGTCTTTGGAAGACTAATCACATAAGAGTGTTGAATTGAGACTCCGATTAATATTTTGAATTGAGATGAGAATAATTAATAATTAAGTCAACAGATGTAATAGCTTTGAAAAATTTGACCAATTCAACTAACAAAATAATTGATAGAATTCGATCTTGGAAAACATAATCAAGGTAAAATTAAAGAAAAATTAATTTATTAGTCTGTATAGTTTGGACTTAGTTGTAATAACTTAGTCTAATTTTTTTTATATGACTCATAGTATTCTCAAGTTACTTTGAAGTTAAAACTAATTTCTGTCAGGTTAAGAGCGTTAAGGTTAAAACTTTCCAACAAGTATGCTTATTGGAATTCAAATTTGTGTTCTCTTTCTTACAGGGGTGAGACCGCTTTCCATTTCAATTTTCAACTAACAACTTATTAGTAACTCAATGTTTAAGTTTTAATTCAATGTAAAATAATCCCGATGGTTTTAATTTGTTCTTAATTTTTAAACTTTGACTCACTACAATTTAATTCCTATAATTTTATTCGGTCAAAATCTTATTACCTAAGTTTCATGAAATATATATTTTTTTAAAAGGGTTAAGGTGTAATTTTGACCTTGATCTTATTTCTTAGGTAGAATTTTGACCCCTAATTTTACTTCTCAGGTGTAATTTTGCCTATGATCTTTGGATGCAATTTTGACTTTGAGGGGAAAAATTGCATTAAAAAAAAAAGAGATCAGGGTCAAAATTGTGCAACTAAAAAGATCAAGGACAAAATTACACCTTAAACCTTTTAAAAATATAGGAACTAAAGTTTTAAATGGTTAAAGCTAATTGAGTTATAGTAAATTAAGGGTTCAGAGAGACTGACTTACAACATAGTTAAAACTATAAGAATTAAGTTATGTACATTTAGCAACCAAATAAAAAATACAGGACCAAGATTAGTTTTTCTAAAAGTTAACTATGGATTTTAAATATTTAATGCTAATTTTTTATCCTACATGTCTAATGCAACTGGAAAAATGCAGCAAGCAGTATAGGGAATCCACTAAAATGGCCACACACTGAATCTTCCCAATTTCTAAAGTAAAAGAGGCGGTAACAAAAAAACAAAAAGAAAAAAGAAAAAGAAAAAGAAAATCAAAATCACTAAGCAATTTAGAGAAAGTTTTAAAAAAAAAAATGTTTGAGGAATGTCACCAGTCACCCACATGGGTTATTCCACCTTTCTTATATGCTTTTATAAAGATGAAGCACAAGATAATCATACTTAGTCTAATCCAACTATGACTTGTTGCAAAAAGTTCATATCTATATTGTATCGCACTACCTGCGACTGACTTTGAAAGTGTTTAATCATATGTTTTCCAGTCTTGTTTGATTCTTTTCCTTATTAATGATTGGTGCTAATATGGGTGTTAATAGAATTAGATTGAAAAAATTAAAAAGATGTCAAAACTAATGAACCAATACAAACAACATGGTGAAATTTTGCCGGAACAGTCAAAAAGTAAACTGATTAAATAGCTCATTAAATTGGTCAAGAACTGAAAAAAAGAGATAAACAAAGGAAAACCATTTGAGTTATTGACTCAACTGATTAAAATCTTATTTAATCATTTTTTTATAGTTTTTATATTTGTTAGTACAAAATAGTATCTTTATAGGACATACTCTTTTCTTCCTACATCCTAAAATCATGTATGTATGAACTATTCTTGTAAATAATTATTACTATTTTGCTAGTGTTTACTTATGTTTACTTAATGAGTACTATGATGATAGCCGGTCAATTTTGCTATTTTGAGTTCAATGTGTAATTGTGGATTAATGTTAACTCATTCAGATTTGAATAGTAGGTTACGAAATTCATTAGTAATAGTTTTTTAAATTACTATTTTGATATATACATATATATAATAAAAAATTGTAATTTTTATACCCTTCTAGTTAATATATAAAAAAATACTTCTCTAATCTTAAATATAATATTACAAAAAAAGTTTTATATTTAAAACCGGAAGAATATATTAATTTTATTACTATTGGATAGTTCAACCCGAATTGAACTAAGAAACCTTGATTATTGTCTTGATTGGTTTAATTTGCAAAAAATGGGTGATCAATAAATATCTGTGCAATCATTCTATCCAAAGATAAGAAGAAAAAAATTGGACACAACGATGAAAAGGATGAAATGATTGACAAGAAGAACCAAGTCTTGAAGATTTCATTTCCAGATTTCCGAAGCTCTCCTCAAACTCGATTGCAGATTTGCAGTATACCTTCAAGACTTTACCTTTCCATCAAATATGCAGACTTGCAATATACCTTCAAGACTTCATCTTTCCATCAAATATTCAAACCCTTTTCATCCTTAAGCGCCGATTTTCTCATATAACATTGCAATATACTTATTAACAAGAAACCATTTGTGCTGAATTTATCTTATTATTAGATCTTGATTATATCAAAAGACGTGGGCCCATTTTATCTTCTGAGATGTGCACGTTGGACATTGCTGAAAATGAAGAAAGAGATAATATATACTCATTCTTTACCATATGCTGCGGGATACCAGAATATGAAAATTACAAGTTCTTCGTTATTTAGGAGATGAGACAACAATTGCAACACCAACCAGATTCAATGGAGACAACTTCATATTACGCTGTTGTTGTTGATGCTGTTGCTGAGCTCTGTTCCTCTTCAACAGAGACTGATCTGGTGAAGAACATAATGATGAAGATGACCCTACTTTCCACGAACCGTTGGATCCTTCATCGGTCCCAACTCCACCATCGATTAAGCCACTTAGGTTCACAGGGATTATTATTCTTTCATCATGCTTTCTCTTCTTTCTATTCTTATTATCAGACGCCTCGAGAATTGCTTTATAACACTCCTCTACTTTCTCCTGTTTCATAACACAGATCTACATTATAATTATGATACCGCGCTAACTCCAAGTTCTTTCAGTAACACTAGACGACAGAACAAGAATTAAGCTCATACCTTGTTGATTTTAAGCACATCCAGGAGTTGTTTTTTGTATTCAGCTGCATCATTGTGCTGTATCTGCTCTATAACACGAAGCATTGTGGCTGTGGCCAACACAGAAGGAAGACAGCCCACGAATCTTGAATCTACAGACAGTGTTTCGATGTTTATAAGGATACTGTTTATAGTGGCCTCTTTCGTTGTTGTTCTAATGTGAGTTCTTTTAAAATGTTTACCTGAAAGTGCTGATAGAAGAAGATGCTCACAACGCTTGAGAAATTGCCAGTGAAGATGGGTTTTCAATCCAAGCCTTCTAATGATGTGATCTAAGAACGATAATGGTGTCACTGGGTGCATCTTCCATTTCAGGGTCGATAAAACCAGAAGCTCCATTCTCAGAATCGTCTTGCCCTCGAACACATACTTCGTACCTTCCACCTTAAAACCAAAAAGGAAAGAATTAGATCTGTCATATCTTAGAACGAAAACTTAAAAATGAAAGGACAAGACCCAAGGTTGCGTTTTCAACGTACTTGGAGGTCTAGAAGAGGAGGGAGTTGTGTCTCTTCGACCTTTGCAGCTAAAGAAAGGCAAGTGACAGCCACCAGTTGGATCATCCATGGCTTCTCTATTTCAATTTTGAAGCTTAAAATGAACCTATCCAAGTAATTAATGGCCAGAGTTGAAGTAAGAGCAGAGAAGCCATGGTGAGTATTCACCTTAAGAATCCACTCCACAGCTTCACGACGAGCCAAGGAGAGGCGAGAGCCTGAAAATTCCAGATTACCCAGGTTGAAGTTGGCAACTTCTTGATGTTGTTGCTGTTCTTTGGTGAAGAGAGAGATGAGGTCTTGGTCTTCCCAGAACAAATCTTGCTCCAACAGAAGCAGAGGAAACAGAGAAGCATTATTGTTCGAGAGATCAGTTTCATCTGATAACTCTGATTGTGGGTGTTCTTGTTCGTCGTCTTGTTCATCCAGGTTGGGCTCATGACAGTAGAGAGAATCGAGAAGAAAGGAAGAATCTTGAAAAGCCATCTTCTTCTCCTTCTTCTTCTTTTTGGTTAAGGGAAGAAGAGGGAGATGAGTTGTGATGTGAAGGAGCGATGTGGTCATCGTAAAAAGAAGACACTGAGACTGAAACCCATCGCTCTTTTCTTTACTGTGTCTAATGGAAGGGAAGGATTGCAGGGGGAAAGCAGAGAAACAGAAAAAGCAAGAGAGAGGATTGATTTTACAGCTGACGGGGTTTCACGCTTGTCCTTTTATATATATTTACTATGCTTTCATAATTTATTTAAATCCAATTTTCCACTTTTCGGCTATATTTTAATTTTAATGCTAATAAAAATAGAAAAATTATTATTATTTTTTGTCATTAAACAGCCAATTTATATTTATAATGTATAAATAACACAATTTTTATACACGTGTTCCTCTAATTATATTTATAAAGTAGAAAAAATATTTTTATATCCTATTTATAAGTCACTTTATTAAATTTGTAATATGATTGTACTATTTTATACTTCATTTCTTATAATGTACAAAGTTATTTTTTTAAAAGTGTATATATTAAATAGGAACAAAATTGAAAAGTTATTGTATATTAATAGAGAGTTAATGTATTTTAAAATATTTTTTTTGTCTATGTGAAATACACTAAAAGCATTTTATAAATAGGATCAAATGAGTGTATCTTATACCACGCATGGTCTTTATCATAAACTTCAAATAAGTAATAAGGAACAATTAGTTAAAATTAGTTAAACTCAATAAATATAATAAAAATATTTTTTTTTAAATATGTCTTTGTAATAAATAAGAAAAAGAATAAAATAAGATATGCGAAAAAATGTGATAATAAAAAATATGATAAAAAAGAGAGAATAAATAATTAAGGATAAAATTAAAACAAATACATTAAATGTAAAAAAAAATATAAATTGAAACTTATAAAATAAATCACGTATCTTTTCAAATTTACAGCTTTTCAAATTTACAGCTTATTAATAGGACCAAGTGAGTATTACATATGGATTAACATCAAATGTGATTAATTAATATACAATATTAAATTTATAACAAGTTGAACAAGTAATATATAATACTCTTTTAATTTTAAATATAAAATTTATTTTATAATATAATTTATGCTGCAAAATAATTTCTGGACAGTCTTAGTTGTAGGTCTTATCACACAAAACCTCAGATTATGAATCAGTCTTATCGTTACAGCAAGTTCATTGTCGACGACCCTTTGATATGCCTGTCAATTTTATAGACTTTTTTTTTTTTTTAAGACCAGACTACAAATTTGACAGGAAATATGGAACCCAGCATAAATTCTATACAAGCTGTTATAATAAATACAAACATTAGTCCGAGACTCAATTTAATCTAATATATAAAATTCAAATTTACTGCCTATTATTTTTCCTCAAAGTCGTTTCTTTAGTGATTGTACAAAGATTTCCATTTTAATATATATAATTAATAAAAATATTTTAAAAAAGATAACACTTATTTATTACAGATAACTAATTTAATTAACAAATTTTAATAATATTTTCAAACTAGTTATTTATTTCTAACCATAGTATTTTATATGCATGATCCCTTAACTAAACAATCCATTGTAAATTAGATGTAAGACTGTAGAATTAAATAAAAACATGTTCAAAAATAATTAAAATTACAGTCACGTCTTGTGTAAGCTATATGATTTATAATCATATAAAGAACTTTCTAAAGAAAGTAAATTCTCCAGCATGAAAAATCTAACGACCATCGCCATCCTCAAACATAGGCACAACCAAATTTTACAATGTGGATGGAGTAATTTCATGATCTTTTGCCAATCTATTGACAGTTTCTGAAACTTCCCTGGTGAATACAGAGCAAACGAAGACAATTGATGACTTCTGTTAAAGCTGAAGGCATCTCTAAAATCAATGTAATCCAAAACATAAAGAAAATCTGGGAACGCCTACAGAAATGATAAAATTTGAATTTTTTTGGATAAAAATAAAACTACTTCAATAACTGCTAAATCAAAACAGGTCTATACATACTGCTTCCTAGCTTCAGACTTGACCAAGTACAAAGAGATCTCTAATACGGCGGCCGAGGATACGTTCCAGGATAAGGACCTGACAACAAAGACCAAAAATATATATAATGATGTTATGAAAGAAAGAAGAGCATGCAAACTAAGCAGAATAATATATTAACAAGAATGAAATAGGAATCAAAAAGACTAATAAACAATTTTGCAATTTGTTAGGCCTAATAGAAGCTTTTAACTCCCAAAAAAACTAGAAAGTGAATTTTCAAAAATAACGGCCATCCTCGGCATAATTCATGGGTTGCGTTTATGTTGGAATAGAAGGTATAGAAACATAGCAGTTTATAGCGATTGTGTAGAAGCCTTGTCTTTGGATTGTAGAGGTTGTCAAAGCAGCTATCCCTTTAAGGACATAGTTGATGATGCTAGGCTCCTGATTCGTACGGAGTGGATGGTTATACCAATACATTCTCCTAAGGAATCTATTCCTATTGCTGATCACCTGGCAAAACTTTCTCATCATAGGGAGGATAACTTTTGTATCCTAGATCAGCCACTTCCTTTGGGTGAGGGGGAGGTTGATACAGGAAACTAAGTCTTGATGTTTTTTGCTTTTGTGTAAGTACTTGTTCTCAGGTTTTGATTCAAAAAATAATAATAATAATAATAACAGCCATCGTTCCACGTCAATTCCTCTATACTCGTTTAGCCTATGGATAAAAGGACTATTGCCAGCAAACAAAAGATTAAACTCATAACTGCGTAAAGTTAAAATAAGACTAACAACCAATGGGCCAAATTTTGGAGTCCAGCTTTTCCCCCCCTTTTTTGGCACAGAGAGACAAAAAACAATACATTACCAGGAGGGTAATATGCAGAAGCTGGTTGAGGCGGTGGATATGGATGTGGGGGATAAGCTGCGGGTGGTGGTGGATACGGAGGTGGAGGATAAGTGCTGGGAGGCGGAGGATAAGATGGTGGTGGTCCCGGTGGTGGCGGATAGCCAGATGGATATGACGGATAGTGTGATGAAGAGGGGTAAGCTGTATGAGGAGGTGGAGGATAAGAAACTGCAGGTGGCGGTGGCGGTGCATAAGGTGCAGATGCAGGCTGTGGATAAGAAGCAGGAGGAGGGGCGGAATATTGGACGCTTGAATTCATGTATGGTGGTGCTGATGGAGCATAACTTGAAGTTGGTTTCTGCAAATTATGATACAAACATATGAAATCGTTAATTACTTCAAGTTAATCAACACCAATCATCTACATAACACATTATGGAAAATGCAGCTTACTTTGGCGTTTGCATAATGCATTATGACTTTTACCTCCCCTGCATGTCTGCCAAAAGAAAAAAGCGAGATTGTTAAGTGTCGACGAGTGTTTTATAACTTCAACAAGCACAGACAGGGAGAATGAGTTTCTTTCACTCTAGGATGCTCAAAGGACATAGATATGAATATGATATGAATCATGAAACACAGGACACCACTGAATTTTTTTTGGCTCGGTGGTTGACCCATGGTTTAGTATAGATGATATGCTACTAAAATATTTAGACATTTTTGTATAGGCTCACCAATTACAGTTTGCCGCACATACTTTAAGGAGCACTACTCTAATTCTTTTTTTTTTTTCAAATGTTCGACTCCCACACATTTTGTAGTCTAAAAAATGATGTTATAACGAATCTATCCAAATAAAAACTTGGTCATATCTGCCTTAAATCGTTTAATCAAATCTTTTCACTTCAATACTCTGAATGGCTTCTGCAAAACCAGATACCTTGAAGGACTAGCAGTTCCTGTTTAAGAAGCCATTCCAATGATCTGATGCAATACTGAGGCCTTATGAATTTTAACATACATTTCATGGGGGTGGTAAATAGGAAGACAGAATAGTCCAAATATAAGTAAAAAAATTAAAGCAAAAAACCAAAAATTAACAACTCAGAGACGTTCTCGATTTTGGCTTGGTGTTTACCGGCCAGTTTTTGTTTGAAGAGGCCAGGTAGAGTCATCAAAACCTTCTGAAAGAACCTTTTGCAATTGAATCCTGAATATATCGAATTCGAATCGAATCTTAGTGTGAACCAAAAGGGTACTAGATACATAAAAACTTATGAGTGAAGAATGAAGCCAGAGAATCTGAAATGATTACTTTCCACTTCCGATAAAGTCGTCAAAGGTAATTGTATTGCTATTCCAAACCAACACGTTAATTTCCCTAAGCCCTTCAATTAGCGGAAAGACAAACTTCTCTTGAAATGTGGGATTTTTGCCACCGTCTGCACAGGCCAATGTTCAAAAGATCTCATCTCCAGTTTGAAGTAAAACTGAGTTGACAATAAAATTTCAAACGAACAATTCTATTTGCCCTGCTCCATTTATTATAAAAATTTTGCTCTAACTTTGTAAACTTCACCAGAAAAGACCTAATTCATACACAAGTCAAGTCAATACCTGTGCAAGTTCTGGTACGGAACTTGGTGCTAGCATATTCGACGCAGACATAGGGATCTTGCCTGGAAATCCATTCTGTATCCCTCAACTTAGAGCAACCGACAACTGCATCGACATTACAGACAATATGTATGATTTTTCTCTTCATTAAAACTGAAACCCGGGGGCGAAGAGGGAAAATGGCGAATCACGTACCAGTAACCTCAAGAGTGTGACCTTGGATCCCAGATATCGACATGGACGAAGAAATAAGCTTTATGTGATTGAGAGGGGATTTGAAGTATTTGGACTTTGAACTGCCCTGGCTTTATGACAGGGAAAAGTTAAATAGTGATGATTCCGCAAAGGGTCGAGCCGATTTATAACATAAAAGGAAAAAAAACACCTTGGAGATAAATAATAAATTACCGGTACTACTCGGAATTAGTCACCAGCATACGGTGATCCTTCTGATTTCTGGGCTATTCCCCCTGACTTTCGATGAAGCTCCTTCATATTCATAAGTAGATGACTTGGTAAAATTGAAAATAAAGCGTGTGAGAAGATTAGAACTACAGCTAGGTTAAAAAATTTGGGAAATCGATGTCAGAAATAAAGCCGAGAGGAACGATATAATAAAAACTCTTAATTTGTTTTCTTAAAAATCAATTTTAAGATCTAATATCTAAAAGTTTAAATGAAAAAAGATCGT